GGGTTAACTTGAATGGTTCAAGAGAGTGTATTGTATCTGGTATAGAAGTTAAGCAGGTTTTCTTTTTAGACTAATGAGATAGTATTAAAAACTTTGTTAACACTACATCATGATAGCAACATCAGGCACGGATGGTTGACTAATGTGAAACATATAACGCACCATATATATGGTGATTAAGCAAGAGATGCACAGTCCTGACCATCATAAAAATTGTAGCATAATACTTAGTCAAAGCCCCTTTTCATTTTGTATATACATTTTGTTAAAATTTTCATTATGATAATGACTATGCATCTTGCTTAATCACCATATGGTGCGTTTTATTTATCAAATATATCTAGGTTAACCTGCTCTCACAAAAGTCCAACTTTCTCCAACTGTAGCTAGTAAAAGAAAAAAAAACAGAATACTAAGTGCATTAGGTTTGCATGCTTCATCAATCCTTTTAACTGCTCATTTGGCTTATCACTTCCATTGGTTCATGGTTAGATCTATATGCATCTCCCAACACCACTGTTCAGCATCAGTACCAAACAAGAAGAAGCATCAAAATAGCATCATATGCTCTGCATGCATATCCATGGACAAATGTGCTTTTGGATTGAAGATCCAGAGACATCCTGTGTTGGAACGGTTCACCATCTCTGAGCCTCCTGTCCCAATCCATGACATCAGGCAAATGGTTAAACGATGTGACCATCAGAAAATCTGCTTGGAGAGACAAACAAAGCTGGTTATTCTTAGTTTTTTTTCATTTTGGTAGATTAAAATATACTTAATTATTGTGTAGTGTTATGATAGAGTCCTTTTCTGCAAATATATAAGACTTAAGTGTGTCTTCTAGCTACCATTATATAACTTTTCAAATCCAGAGCAGTTGAGAGTTTTTAGGCTTCACAAAACTGGAGTTAAAATTAACTTGAAATTGTGTGAGTTCTATCACTAGGAGAACAATCTTGTTAAATACCTAGCAACCATTACAGGGCTTAAGAGGCAGAGAAAAATAGCGTTGATGAAAATAATGTTTTACTTTTTTAAAAAAAGAAAAGGAAAGAAAATGGTGTTTTCCATGTAAGTCAGCTTAATATCATTGCGATAACTAAGGTTATACCCAGGGGCGAAGCTAGCATCAAAACAAGGGGTGCACTACTATTGAGAATTTAGAAAATTTCAGTACAACACTGTACATTCTAGTGTTTTTAAGTGAGAAATTAGGAATTTGGGGGTTCATGTGCTGCCTCCCCCCGCAACATAATATAGCCTCGCCACTGGTTATACCTAAATAAGATTTTGGTTATATTGTCGAATATTGGTATCATAGCATGCAAAGAGAGGTTTTGTGACAAAGAAGCTACAAATGAACTCTGGCTACCCTGTACATTTTTAATATTTATATATACTATGTACTTGGAACCAATTTATTATAGTTATTGCTAAAAATAATATAATGTAAGACACATAAATGTATTCTTTTACAATGAAAAGAACTTTGAAATTATATACTTATATATATCCAGATGTTAATTTTGTTCAAATTTTGTACTACTATATATAATATGGTCCCACGCGCTAATTAACTAGCCTCCATGGAGCTAGGAGACCCAAACCCACAATTGTGAATATCTCCATAAAGAATAGATACTACCCACAATTGGTTATGTGTCCCTACAAACTGTAAAGCACCCTGTCAACTACTGGTGAACATGTTCCAAACATGTCACTCTACTATAAATATGTCCGCCACAACCATAAAACACATCGCTAACAAGCTTGTTGACTGTAAATTCATCCCAAACTAGTAAACGAGTTTTCGAACATGTTTGCCAACTGTAAATTCATTCAACACGATTGGGAAAAACATCATTTCAGTTTATACAATTATGAGACAATTATCTTCACTCCAGTTATAATAATTTTTTTCTTTAATTTTACAAACATAAGTATTATATTTAGATATGTGTATGTACATGTGCAATTTTGCGGTCCCAAATAATGCTCGCTTTTACAGCCGTGAACTTGTTTTACAGAAAACCACCAAGGATATACTTGTAGCGTCTATAGCTCAATAGATGTTGCTGACAGGAATCTGTAGGATCTCCCATGGTTAATTAACACCCTAGCCAAGTTAGCAGCCTGATAGTGGTGTAGCAAAGGCCCATATGGCCTAGGTGTGGTTGTAGTTGGTAGTTCAGTACCACCTTAGAGGTTTATCTAGGTGAGGTAAGCTTATATACCCTATGAGTTAACCTTTTATCCGAAGTAAGCATGAACGTGTAAGTGAGATAATATGCAACGAGAGTACGGTAGTGTGGATTTTGGTGGCAAGGCCGTATTTGCATATGCCTTATTTATGCATGCAATGCTACAAAGTGCTCCATTCGCATCTCTAGGCGTTCTTTCTAATAGAATTGGATATTTAGAATTGGAGTAAACATCCATATCTCTAGGTGGCTATTTAGATTTGGATATAATCCTATATCAAATGGAGAAAATAGAAACCGCAAATTTTACCACGCAACTAATTACTGATTTTGCCAAAAGAGTTCTCTCATGTGCTGCAATCTGATGTCCGTGATATGTTCTTTACATTGATCTCCGTATTTCCTCGATAGAGAGAAAATGAGTGGCACGGTGGAGGGGGAGGAGGGAAAGTTGGCATGGTGTCTTTGTTAGGGTTGTCTATTGGATCACCTAGGTTTAGATCTAGTCGGGTGGTTCTATTTGCAATGGATGAACAACAATAGATGAATGAACAAAGAGGGAGTGAGAGGATTTAGGGTTGTGACCAGTCGTTGTTGAGGAAGAGGAAGTCCGGCCGGCCATCGTCGTTGTCGTCGCGGGCTTGACGTGGACGGCGGCGACGATGTGCTCGGTTCCGATGGCGGTGATACGGTTGCAGCAGCGACGGTGTCGACGACGAGGCGTGGCGCTGCGGTGGACTTCCCGTCACTGGCTGCGCCCCCTCGATCGGTTAGGGTTTATGGGGTGGAGTGGCGGCGGCGACGAACCTCGTTCCTTGTCTCGTTTCCCGTCCCGTCCTCCACCCCTCTTTATATGGCACAGTGTGACGGGGGCCCACCAGCCATTGGGCTGGGCGCCCCCGATCAGGGCGCGGGTCAAGGCCCCCTTGAGCCGTTGGGCTCAAGGGGAGGGAGATCCATCTAACAGTCTTGGCCTCATATCATGTTGACCGCATCGGATGGAATTGCCATGGAAGGAGGGAAAGTGAGGCTAAGAAAATGGTGCTCAGATGAACCTAGAACCATGCATAAAACTCAAAATAAAAACAACAACCTCCCTGGCAATAAAATCACCAGGGAAACCAACATGTACAAACCCTATGATGGTAAAACTAAGTGTTGTTTATATATATATATGCTAGATTTTACAATTGTTGGATGGTGCTTGGTGTGGGTTAGTCAGTTGGCCAATGCTACAAAAGCGTGTGTTTGGGGTCAGGGTCAACAAAGCTGGTGGTGTGCTGGCAGTGCCCCTTGGCTAGATAATATTAGTATACTATAATATATAAGAGTTCATAATATATTTTTATTTCTAGGGTTGAACCATTGAAGTAATAATATGAAATTTGATATATCATTTCCTTTGGTCTCTTTTTAACTAAGACATTTTATACTTTACGTGTAAAACCTTATAACTCAGCAGTCAAAATCGATTGACAACTAATAGAAAGTGATGTACCTGCAGTGAAATGTATTTTAAAATGTGGTCTAACAAAACATTATAAAAGAAACATAAAAAAGGTCAATCTCTGATAGAATCAAAATTGGTTGGTTCTACTCGCATGTAGATTGAAAATTTCACTTAAAAAAAATACGGAAAGGTCCCACTCTTTCCAATCAAGCAAGGGTTATCAGACAAAACATCACTACAAAATCATGATGACCATATTCCTACAACTCGTTGCCAAACACTACCTTCCAGTTTGTTTTGTACTATCTGTTCACCCATTACTCAACTTTAAAAAGCTAGGATTGGCCCTCTCTTCAGTCCTCACATCAACTCACCAAACCACTACACTGTTCACGAGGCCTCTTCTCCTTTGGATTTTTTCACTTCTTCATGATTCTCCGAGCAAAAATGCTACACCGACAAATTAACTTAACCTCAGCTAGCAACAATGATTCCACAACTGAAACCAACACTATATAAAGTAGCCGGAGCCCTTTCATTTATAGGAAGACTCATCTGGATGAGCAGTAAGTTCGTCAACTATATATATATATAGAAAACATTTCATACAATTGAAGTAATTTTCTCCTTCTACATACAGAGTGAGAATTAGAATAAAAATACACTAAATATAACTTTAGCTTGCTTATATTGGTGATGGAAGCTAATTATAATCCGACTTAACACCTCTACACGTCAAAAGATGTATCCAATAACCAACTTTTCATGCTATTAATGAACAAAATTAGCTTGTAACGTATATACTTGTGTTGTTTGTTCAAGTAGTACCGAAATGCTATCTTCTGCCAAACCTTTCTAATAGAATGCACAAACAATTAATAGTACCACTTTGTCTTTAGAAGGAATTCCATGTTGATCATTTAACAAAAATAGGAACATCTCTCCTAAAAACACTTACAATAGTATAGATGAATTATAGTCAATTTAGATTGCCGCGCTTACAATTAGTTCTCAGGAAACACTATGCTAGATAACGGGAGGCCATCATCACTTTAGTCTTATTTTCGTCACCATCATCATCATCATCATCAGACCTTGTAGAGACCTTGTAGAGACAGTACATGTTGTACTCTGCCTTGTCTCTAATCTACGTTAATCAGCAGAAATCAAACTTGACACTGCCTAAAGACAATGGCACAATAGTTGTTGCGAAAACCCCTAAGATTTTCCAGAACTTGTAAATATGCATGTGAAATTTGTGTGTGGATGTAGCAGCTAGCTAGCTCCACCTATCTTCCACTTCCACATCTCCCCCATAGGATTATTTGCTGGATCCACCAGAATCCGGCACAGAAATACATGCAATGAGGAGTGAAACGTTACAACACCTCCCTTATAAATACCCTAACCCCACACAAGAAACCCCTCCTCCATATTACAATCAAGAGAGGAAAAAAAAACAGAGAGAGAAAGATCAAGAGCATATAATCTATATATACACACAGGCACGTCGCGAGTAAATTTCACAAAACTACATAGACTACGTGGATCCGATACTCCGATCCCGACCCGGCCATGAGAAGGCAAGGAGGCAACTGCGAGGTCAACTCCTCCATCGCCCTCCTCCAGGAGAGGTTCAGGAACCTGCAGAAGGTGAGGGAGATGAGGGAGGGGAGGGAGCAGCTGCTGCAGACGCCGCCGTCGCCGACGGCGACGGCGACGGCGATAGCCGGTGCAACTACCACTGGTGCTGCTGCGTCATCGTCCGGCGGCGAGCAGCCGAGGTGGTTCTCGCACCCGGAGCTGGTCCGGCCGTCGTCGAGGCCGGCGGCAGCACAGCGAGCCACCGCCGACGACGATGCTGCCGCCGTTCGTCAGCCGCCGGCGGTGAGCGTTGGCAGGGCGGCAGCCATGGTTTTGCAGAGCTCGGGGTGTAGGAGCGATGTGGAGGTGGACACCTCGCTTCACTTGTGAAGAAGTGAAAATTAAGTAGATAGCTAGTAGTAGCTAGATGCTTATTTAGCTCGGCCGAATTAATCATTTTTTCCCCCCTTTGATCCTTCTAGTTCTTGTTTTTCTCTTGATCGATCACATCTTGTATGCGCTCGTGGATGCTGTCGAATTTGAATTAATTTGGTTCTAGTTCATGTTGATTAGATGTTTAGATGAGGGAGTGTCTAAGGTGTTGTAAAATTAAATTTCTCAAAAAGATCTACTATACATACTAAGTACTAATTAACTACCTCAGATCAATCACTATTTTGGGATAAAAGATTCTTTTTGGGTTTTTTTGGGGAGAGGGCCAGAAAATTCGGGGAAACTAAAATTGAATTTGGGATATATTTTTGCTGAATTTGAACAATTCTTTGCTTCAAAATTTGTTTTTTTTTTCCAGATGTACATACTACCGGAACTCATATACTCTCTCTGTACTTAAATATTTGACGTCATTGACTTTTTTAAACATGTTGACCGTTCGTCTTATTAAAAAAATTTAATTCATTATTAAATCTTTTCCTATCATTTGATATATTGCTAAATATGTTTTTATGTATACACATAGTTTTACATATTTCACAAAAGTTTTTGAATAAGACAAACAGTCAAACATATTTTAAAAAAGTCAACAGCGTCAAATATTTAGGGACGGAGGGAGTATATTAATACACCCGAAGTTGTGGATTGAAATCGTGGACCCTAGCTACATCATAAATGTTATTACCTCTGTTTTTAAGTTTTTGTCACTGAACATGCATTATTCAATTGTTAATTTTGACCCCTCTATTTGCATTTGCAGAAGGTTCATGTATATTTAAAATATGCCATATACAATGACATTGTATATTATCCTACAGTAGAGAACCCCGGATTTTTATCCTATGTGTGCCCACGCAAACCTCAACATGCAAATTGAATCCACTACTATAGAAAAGGGAATAGGTGCCGGTTGAGAACCAGTGTGTCAGATTTCCTAGCTGACACCCAGTAGGCGGCACCTTTGAGAGGACTCAAAGGTGCCTGTTCCTAAACCGGCACCGTTGAGGTTTCAGAAATGCAAAAGAAAAGCTAACTCAATGCATCGGCTCGAATCGATCCGATGCATTGAGCAGCTCCCATCACCGGTATCCAAGAACACATGAACAGACCGAACAAACAAGAACATCAAGAACACCATGAACACATGAACATCAAGAACTAAAGTCTTGTCCTCTATGCCGGCCATCACCTCACCCTCCTCACCGGCCTTCTCCACCATCACCGCCGTCGCCAGATGAAAAGGAGGAGAGGAGGGGTGAGCCTCTTTCTCTACCACCACTGTCGTGGGACGCCACTGACACCACAGTCGCCCGAGGATCCGCCACAGGAAGCTAGATCTGTCGTGGTCGCCGCTGGATCCGTCATGGGAAGCCACCGACGCCGCCAGATCTACCGATGCCCATCCTTGCTCACCACCCATCCGTGGTCTCCGTCGGCGCCACTCCATTGGATCCACCCAGCCGCCGGCGCCGCTCCATCGGATCCGCACAGCCGCCGGCGCCGCTCCACCTCCTCCATGGCAGAGCGGTGAGTGGATAAGTACGTGGGACACCCCTCCCTCTACTTATCTGCTCGCAAGTTGCCGGTTGGATCAGCTCGGTTATTACCAATGTCGGTTTTTTTATAAAACTGACACCTGCAATATATTATGGTGTCGGTTTTTTAATTAACTAGAACCTATAATAAATTAAAGTTGTTGGTTTTTTTTAAAAAAACGACATCTATAGTATTGGTGTTGGTTTTTTTATAGAATCGGCACCTATAGTCGCTTAAAGGTGCCGGTTTTAGCTATTCCGACACCTATCTAGTAGTGATTACTTATGTAGATATAAAGTACTGAGGTCTCAATCGGTAAAATAGTACAAAAGGACATCAATAACAACTCATTTCTACTCCCTCCAGTCACTATTGTTATGTCATGTTTTTTTTTCTAAGACCGGTCATGTTCTGGAATTTACCTAGCACCATAAGAAATGTGAATCCCTGGATATAGCCTAGGTGATGAGGAATCATAATACTTTGGTACCATGTTAAAGACAGAAATAAAGCCTATGTTCCTCCTAATAGTTGATTGATTCAATTTAAAATATCATTCAGTGAAAGAGGGATCACATGTTTAATGGAGGTAGAATTGTAAAGAGGTAAAAGACTACTTGGTCACCTTATCTAGAGCCCCATTGTTTCGCTTATTCATATTCTTATCCGAATCACTTATTAGCAAATAAAATATTATTTGTGAATAAAACCGCACCGCACCACCACCACGACCTCCACGAAGATCGGAGCTTCATGCCCGTCGCCTCGCCCACTCCTCCTCAATCTCGTCCTCTCGAGGCAATATAAATGATACCCATGCTTCTCTTGCTTGTTTTCCGGTCTCTATCGAGCTCGCCGCGTCCCCAACCCATTACCCCGCCGCAACCCCGAGCTCCACCGCCTGCTGTCGTATTCTGGGCAAGCCCTACTGCCGCTAGTGCCGCCACCGCGCTGCACCACCAGAGCCTCCGGCTTCGCCATGCCACTCCGCACCACGACCACCACTCCATTTCCCGCAAACCACCGCCCGAGCACCGTCTTCCCCGCGTACCCAAAGTCGCCGCCATATCCATCGCCTCTGGCCACCATTTTCCGCCATTCTCGACCACCTCAAGCCGCGCCACCACCACCGCTGAGTTTGTCATGCCGCGCTCCTCCTCGGCCGCTTGTCGCTTGTTGTAAATTGTCGCCTAGCCGCTGCTTCCTCCACACACCGAGCTGCCGCCAGCATTGCCGCTTCCAGCCATCGCTCGCTGCTGCTATAGCCACCACCGAGTCATGCCACATCCGCCAATAGCTTTGTCACACCGTGAAGCAGCTTGGCCACCCCTCCATCGCTACCAACCTCCATCAAAACTCCATCTTCTCTAGGACCGGTGAGCTCCGCCGCTCTTCGCCGCCAACCCAAGCCACTGCCATCTTTGCTGCCTCCGACCTCCTCTCACCGCCATTCCCAATCACCCCTAGCCACGTTGTCGTCTCTATCAACTTTCCTGTGCCACGTAGATGCCATTGGGGCATTGTCTTCTTCGCTTTTCGGGGCTCTGCCGACGCCACTTCATTCCCAGTCGGCTGCCGCAGGCGATTAGAGTGCCGCCAGGCCGTTTCTCCCCCTTCCTAAGCTTCGCAAGTTCACGAGCTACACCGCATGCCGCTTCTTCTTCGCCAGGCACCGCTGAAACCAACTTGGCACCGTATGAGGTCTCGGAGGGCCTCGGCCTCCTCTTCTCATCCAACAAATGCCGCGGGAGCGCCATCTCCTACATCAACTCGCACCGCCGCACTTCCTATCGCCGTCGAGCCCCGTGCTACCTCTTCCGCCGTGTGTGCTCGGTGAGCATTTTCCCCTTCCTCTCCTTGCCTCCTCCTCCACTTCCCGCATTGCCGCTGCGCCCAGTGGTCGCTGGCTATGACCACCAGGCCGTGTGCCGCCACAGTTGGTAGGATCGGCCGGTGAGCCGCCTCGCTCCTAGTTGTTTGATTGGTCCGGGCCAATCTAGGGTGTCCATGCTCGTGGACCACCCTGTGCTCCTGGTCCACGGTGCACCCGGCAACCTCCGTGGACTCGGTCCACAGTAGGCCGGCCCCAAGGCCGGCCCCTTGACCTACTGACGCATGGGGCCTGCCTGTCGGCATAGTAAAATAAATAATAATTGTGCAATAAAACGAGTTTAATTTCAGAAATTTATTTGAATGGCTCAAAACTTCTCAAATTCAAAACTAATTCATACGAACTCCACTTGCAAAATTCACCTAAAGTTGAGCTCTACACGTTTGTTTACTTTTCATGTACTGTTTACTAGGTTTTTATTAGGGTTTTTCCTTGTTTTGCGTGCTAGCATGTAGAATCTGCTGTTCTGGAGGATCGCAGCCGCAAGGAAAAGAGTTCAGAAGATTGTTCGAAGATGCTAGGCAAGTCACACATTCTCACTTGAGCATGTTGACCCTACTTTATGATTTTTTACTGCTTGCAAATAAAATGCATGTTTTTGATAATTATATGGGAACAAGGATTACCTATCTGCTTGCGTGTGCTATGTTTACTTGATATCCATCTTTTATCAAACTTGGGTGACAATTTGACTAGCTTGTCACTTATGTTGGTATTGCTGGAACTATGATATGCTTAGCCATGCTTAATTACTACTAGCTCACCTAATGGGACGATCACATTATGTATATTTAGTATCTTGACAAGCTGCGAGCTCGAGACACCTGGCCATATTTATTGGTCGCAATTATCCAACTAAAACATGGCCTAATGGTTGGTTGTGAGTGCATGGTTTTGATTGTCACACCCATGACAATTAAGTACCGGTTCGCGGGAAACCCTTGAAGACTTACTCTGCTTAATTACCACAAGCAAGCGTGGGTAACTGCTGGACTTGTAGTATAGCTTTTCCCTTTTTGATGTTCTCAGGCAAGGGTGGATGTGATGGTGTTTGGATGGACCGTGTGGCGGTCTATGCGGCTTCAGGATTCATCATGGCACAAGAGGGGGTTGCCCACCTCAGTTTTAAGAGAGGGGGCAAAACCTGCAGCGTGGTGCGCTTGGTCAGGGGAGTTATGCAAAGGGTCTTGTCACAATCACTCGCATGGTGATGTGTCCGGCCGGGGATGGAAACATGATGGTGGGTTGTGTCTTGTGAGTATATATAGTTGTATACCTCTGGCCAGAGTAAAACTATTTGAATAGTTGTGCCTATGGTTATGGGCAATCAACCAGCATCTATATCGTAGAGCTGTAGGCCGAAGTCTCTTTGGCAGACCAGGGGTAAGCAGGTGTCCGAAGCAATCGATAGGGGTTTACCTTAACTTAATTAAAATAATTAACCCATAGGAATCATCTCTATTCTCAACCTACCATTTAGTTGTTGTCCTTGGAAGAATCTTGTACTTAGATTATACAAACACGTTCCCTGTGGATACGATACCCTGGAATACTCTTAGGTGAAGGCTACAATAGTATCTGTGCAGTTCTAGATTATTCTGTGTTCGTAATAAATACCAACAGCTACTTGAAATTCATCTAACGAGAACAAGAAGAAAATGAATATGTTTTCTAGATTATATTCTGCTTATATGTTATTTTGGGAAATAGTGTTGGCTGGAGCATCGTCACTACTATTCGACACTAAGGTGTCTTAATTGATCTTATCCATGGAAACAGAAGAATGGCTATGAGTTTGCCAAATCCTTCTATAGGTTATCAAGTGGGTTGGGTTTTTCCTTATCCACCTGGACACGCATATATAATTCACGACCCAGGAATAGCACGGCTCATTTGGCTATGGGCTGTGCTATCACTGCCCGTCTAGCCATGCTATGCTTGGGCTGCTACCCATCCCGGTGTGCCAACACAATAAGTACATGTAGCGAGCCAGCACGACATGGCCTAGAAATGATAGGAAATGGCCTGGTCCATGTGGCACGGTGGTGAACAATGACTGGCAAACAACCGTCAGTCGAGCAACTGCCATCCAAGTTGAAGCCAGGAGAAAAGGAGAACGGAAGAACCGCTGAAGCTAGGGCCTAGGGGCAGAGAAAGCAATGGTGGACGCTCATTGACATAGGCCAAAAGGGCAGCGTGGTGACGCGGTCGACCCCTTTCGTGAGCACAACCACTAAGCGTGTCAGTTGTTGGGGGCTCATCAGCTCCGAACAGAGCAAGTAGGAAGTGAAGGGCCACGACAGTGCTTGACGGGGAGGAAGAGGAATGAGCTATCTGTCAGCAGAGAACCTTGCTGGAGCTTCGCCGGAGTTTGTGCGGCAAGATAGAACAGACTCAATTCACATTATTTTTTATGGTATATGTCAATTTTGGGCTAACGGACCTCCACCCAACCCACATACCCCAATCGTGCTAGGCCGACACGACACGGCCCGATATCTCACTGGGCCGTGCGGCCCGTGCCTGGCTCCTAGCGTCAGCCTCGCCATTTTGGCGTATAGTTGGCCTCTGTCGTGCGTGCGTGAGTTATCCGTCAGTTCGCCGGCCGCCGCCGCCTCCGACGATCCCCATCCATCCCGCGAGCGAGCAGGGCGCCGTCGTTCGTCCTGCTGCATCCGCCCGCATCCATCTGGTGAGCACATCCTCCGCCACCGCCGCCTGCGCCGATCCCCATCCATCTGCTGCTTCCTCCGAAACGCATCTCTCTTTCCCATCTCTCTCTACCCACGCACTTCACTTTTTCTCGAATTTGCGTTAACCCTAGCTAGCTTTCTGTTCTAGAAATTTGCCTTAACCTTAATACTAATAACAGTTTGTTTGTTCCCAAAAAGTTTTGGGGGTTCAACTGAACCCCCATGTCCCAATGTTAGATCCGCCACTGGTGGTAAAATGTAGTACACTGTATTTTATTTTTCAACTTTGTTTTGTAAAATCCTTTGTAGAATTAGTCCAATGGTGTTGATATCTTGGCCCACCATAGCTTTCTGCATATAGTTATTCTACCTTTGGATTCTTGTAAAGGGGGAAAATAAGCACGGACTGATTTGTTTACAGGATGATAGATGATGCGTAATTTTGATGTAGCTTTCTGATTTCCGCTAATCTCATGTTCCTATCTGTACTGCAGTAGGATCAATGGAGACGAAGTTATCGTTTTATCAGGACAGCCCGCCAATTCCCATCATTTCTGCTGTTAAGGTTGCCATTTAGTTGCTTCATTTACTTGGTGTGTTATTTTTGTGATTCTTTGGTGTGGCCATTTTTTTATCCTTTTGTTAGTTTGCGTTGGTGGAAATTGTTCGCTGGTCCTATCAGAAGATATAATATTATCCAGAAGTATGTGTGTGGTTTCATTGACTTGATCAGTATTAGCATTGACCACTAAATGTGAATTTTGATTTTATTTTGAAATTGAGTCAGTAAGGTTACAGATGGCCAGCTAGTATATATCAGGGCCTTTTTTTGGTAGAAATCCTAACTTTAATGAGTCAGACAAAAGGCATAATATTCAAACCGAAACATATAGATATTGGAATTTTTTTTTTTAGATATTGTAGTGGTTGGCGATAACATATATTCACAGCCAATTCACTAACATTGCAAGCATTAGCCTTTCTCGGTAAGTTAGCTAAACGGCATGTTATTTAAAATCAAATTAGTTGTTCAAAATAACGCATATTCATAGCCAATTCTCTGGTTGCAGATATTGTTGTTGGTTGAAGATTGTCATTAGGAACGGTGTTGTGTTGTGGGAGGAGGTCCTTTGGATGAGACAAGGAGGAGCCAGGAGGTCCTCTGAAATTTCCTTCCCTCGCAGAAAAGGTGCACAAATAAAACAAACAAAAAGGAAGTCTGTATCCCCACGACCCCACCCATGGCATTCCCCTCCACCTCGTCGGTGGCGTATCCCAGAAGTCTGTCCCCACTGCGCCGCTGCCCCGGATTCCTCGCCCTCCTTGTTGCCGTCCTCCTTTTCCTCTCCTTCCAGGTACACACCACATCTCTGTACTCATCATTTCCTCATTGTAATGGCGAACTGTCAACGGTTTCAGAAAACAACCTACTACAGTGTACTAGTGTAGGATTCCTGCCTTCTCATTCTAACTACCAATTCAATGCTACAGCTCATGATTCATGTTCCCTCCATCAGATTGGCAGTGTCCGGATGGCTCTTCTCCGATCACCAGACGTAAGAGTTAAGAACAGCCACAGCGTTCTCCGTCCCATTGCACTTATTTAAGATTCTAACTTTGATGTTACTATCTTGGGTTCTTGAATTGTCAGTGGGCACAAGGGTCCCGGGAGCTGTCCTGGATGCCACAATGTACAGTTTATCTGATATCTTCTAATGACATATATGAGGTCAGGAATAGTTGGATCCTGTTTCTTGCCAAATTACTAAGTGTGCATTTTGTTTACCTGACAGGGCATGGATAATGCCGATAAGACTATTGCTTACACGAATCAGGATGGTCGGATCAGGCTGTTCAAAGTTACCACAAGAGAATTCTTGTCGTCCTCTATCTGGAAGAATCCTTTGTTGCCGAAAGATACCGAGCCGGTAGCTGAAATAGTATGTTGTGAATAAAAACATGTTTTTATCTTGCCAAGTCATTGCAATTTTTCGGTTTACAGTTCTCACTGCTCTTTCTTCTGCTGCTGTAATAGCAAGAGATTGCGGAGGAGCAGCTACTAGCCACTGGGTCAGAAGTCTCCAATCTTTCAAGCACAGAAACTTTGGAAACTAGAACTGATCCAATTAAATTAAAGAGAGAGGTTGATTTCCTATTTGCCTTATATCGTAACTATTATCAATGACGAACTTTGGAAACTAGAACTGATCCAATTAAATTAAAGAGAGAGGTTGATTTCCTAATTGTCTTGTATCATAACTATTAATGATGACAGATATTTTACCTGTATATTATGTTCCTTTCTTGTTCCTATTCGATTAACTCTTCACCATCTCAGCATATCTGATATACCATTATGATTCCTGCAGGTGTTCCGACGTAAAAGAAAGGAGCATAGGATTCAGGAGTTGCTTCAGGTGGACAAGGAGGCTGAGCTCCATATGCGAAATGTAGCGACAAACAGATCGAGGAACTTCAGTAACAAAGTAAGAGCCAGCTACAACATATGGAGGCTGCAGTTTCACCATACTAATACGGATTCAACCCTGAGACTTATGAAAGATCAGATAATAATGGCCAAGGTGTATGCCACAATTGCACATTCCCAGAAGCAACCTGACATGTACGCGTTGCTCATGAAGTGCATAAAACTATGCCAGGAAGCTATTGGGGATGCACACATGGATTATGAACTTGATTCGAGGTACTCTATTTTACACCCTTGAAGATTTACCAGTTCAGTGTCTGTTTGCTGTGACCTGGTTCAGTTATTTATTGCTGTGACTCTAAAGGTTCAATTATTTATCACCCACATTTCTTATGCAGTGCTTTAGAGCGAGCAAAAGCAATGGGGCATGCCTTGTCTTCAGCTAGAGATGTTCTGTACAACTCCGATGAAGTATCTAGAAGATTGCTTGTTATGCTGCAGTCTACAGAACTAAATATTGATAGTGTTAAGAAGCAGAACTCATTCCTGGTGCAGCATGCTGCAAAGACGGTCCCCATGCCCTTGCACTGTCTGCATATGCAGCTGACAACCGATTATTACTTTCGTGATGGTATGATCAAGGAATATTTCCATGATGCCGCTTTGAAGGAAGAAGAAGATAAAGCAAAGCGTGAGGATAGGTCACTATACCACTACGCTATATTTTCAGATAACGTCCTTGCAGCCTCAGTAGTTGTCAGATCAACTGTGACACATGCCAAGGAACCAGAGAAGCACGTGTTCCACATCGTCACTGATAGACTTAATTTTGCAGCTATGACGATGTGGTTTATACGTCATCCTCCTCTACCTGCTACTGTCCATGTGGAAAACATTGACAACTTCAAGTGGCTCAATTCATCATACTGTTCAGTCCTACGACAACTTGAGTCAGCTCGGCTCAAAGAGTACTATTTCAAAGCACATGATCCATCATCACTCTCTGACGGAAATGAAAATCTGAAGTACAGGAACCCCAAATATCTGTCTATGCTTAACCATCTAAGGTTCTACATGCCAGAAATACACCCCAAGCTTGACAAGATATTGTTTCTTGACGACGATGTTGTTGTACAGAAGGACTTGACACCATTATGGGACGTTGATCTTAAAGGGATGGTAAATGGTGCAGTTGAAACCTGCAAAGAAAGTTTCCATCGCTTCGACACGTACCTCAATTTCTCACACCCAAAGATCGCAGAGAACTTCGATCCACGTGCTTGTGGGTGGGCTTTTGGGATGAACATGTTTGACCTGAAAGAGTGGAAGAAGCAAAATATCACTGGAATATACCATTATTGGCAAGATCTGGTAAGTAATGGAACGAGAAAAGCTAGCAGTGGTTAATTATATTGTTCAAATAGGTTTATCCTACCATGCATTTTCTGTCTATGAAGGTCATGCAATTATAACAGCTGGTAATTTATCTTTTGTTGGCTTCATTTAATAAGGGAATTTCTGTTTGCAGAATGAGGATCGCAAGCTGTGGAAGCTGGGCACACTGCCTCCAGGACTGATTACTTTTTACAACCTGACATACCCATTGAATCGCAATTGGCATGTGTTGGGGCTTGGCTATGATCCAGCTGTTGACCTTGCCGAGATTGAGAATGCAGCAGTAGTTCATTACAATGGGAACTACAAGCCCTGGCTAGACCTTGCTGTCTCCAAGTACAAGCCCTACTGGTCCAAGTATGTAGATCTTGACAATTCACACATCCAGCACTGCTACATGAGTGAGCAATGAAATGAAGTACGTGTAATCCTTCACCCAGTTTTTATTTATTTAGTTTCTTTGTGCGCACGTGTGAGTTTCGTAGGGCAAGTTTTTCGCCAATAGGAAGTTAGGCATAGTTGTGTATATAAATAACATATTTCAGACTTGATGATCTTGTCATTCTTAAGCTCAATAACCGGTTCACGTACATGAATTGTGTCAGGTGGTTTACATCTTGCAGCATAATAGTTATTATTTTGTTCATTTGAGAATACACTGGATATTGTATGAAATGACAAAAGAACAAATGTTGAGGCTAATAAAAGATCATTCAAATCTTTCTGTGATTGTGTTGTTTTGTATGAATTATGGGCACTTAACAGCAATGGACTATACATGCTAGTGTGGAAGGAAATAGAAATAACTCAAAGCTCTGAATCTCAGAACCATGTATATGAAAAGCCTAGAACAGAAGACACTGGTGAATTTAAAATGAATCCTAGGGAAGCTGAGAGTTGTCTACTTGTCTATCACAATTGAGTTCTGCTTTATCTAGGGATGGGTTGACCAAACAAATTGAATTTCATCTTAACAAATTAAGGCAAACCTGCTATGCCCAAGACACAGTACGGCATTGTTATTATTATTCAGGCATTAGGAGTTCCATATTTCTTCTACAAAACGACCGGTGAAAAGGAGTTTCTTCTTGTTTCAACAGCTTTTGTTAATTTGAATGAGGAAAAGAAGGGCTCTTAGTACTAATACTGGTGGCATGCATAGCTGTCCTTCCTCTTCCCTGCTGGTCACCTGAGTTATAGCCATGGGACCAATACCAGATCAGGAATTGAAGAACTTCATTAGCAGTCACAGTTAGTACTTACCTTTCCCTAAGAAAAGGTGCTAAGTACAATTCATGTCTCCCATTAGATCTACGAACAGAGTCCATTTTAGGGCTTGTTTGGGGAGCTTCTAGCAGCTTCTCCTAAATCTCCAGTTGCTTTAAGCTCCTCCCAAACTGTCCAGCTTTTTACCCAGATTCTGAGGATCTGTAGTTGTAGAATCTATAAAATGAACTAAAAGACAGAAGTTGGGTTAAACCTAGCTTCTCCAGATTCTCACCAGCTGCTTATCAGAATCTTAAAATCTTAAGCACCCCAAACATGCCTTAATGGAGTGAGTGACAGAGGAGCGTATCACTCATGAGTTGTGCCACCTCCTTTTTTGATCAGAATATTGCCATGGATTATGTACTTCATCATTAGAATAAATTAAATATTTTAAAATAGACTTAATAAATAGTTTAGAATAAGTGGTATAAGCAATGCGGCCGAAAAAAGGTTTCTTAAGAAAACGTATTTTTAGAAGCGTACGGCAAATAATACTACCTCCGTTCAAACCATTTGTCTTGTTCAATTTTTTTTTAAATATAAAAAATATTACGTCATGCTTAAAGAATATTTGACGATAAATCAAGTCACGATAAAATAAAATAATAATAATAATATAAATTTTTAGAATAAGATAAATGATCAAATGTATCTTAAAAAGTTAACAGTATAATGCATTAAAAAATGGAGGGAATATATGGCAATAGTCCGGTGAAAGTTGAAAAGAATTGGGATAAAACTAAGTATTATATTGACATATGGGATGAAAAAGCGAGTAGTCCTTAAAAGAATTGAACGATTGCAAGTATATGTATGTAAAAGAAATCTCACAAAGCCTAGGATAGAAAGAAAATGGAGGTAATTCAAAAGAGAAATGTATATGGAAAATAAAATAAAATGGGCAGCTTAACCTCTCTTTGCATGGGGTTTTACATCAACTTGCATTTCAGTTAGGAATAAGTTCACTTCGTGACCCTCAACTGTTAACGAAATCTAATCATGACCCTAAACTACAAAACCAGATATCTCGACCTCCAAACTCCTAAAACCGGTGCAATTTGACTCCCTGGGCAGTTTTGGGAGGCGGTTTTGCTGACGTGGCGCCACGTGGAACCTACGTGGCAATATTGACCGAGTCTTTGTTCCACGTGGCGTTGACGTGGCACCTACGTGGCGATAGAAATAAAAATATGTGTGGGCCCATTAGTCATTCACACAAAAAAGAAATGTGGGCCCACTGACATGTGGGGTCCACATGTCTGCCCTTCTTCCTCCTCCCTCTCTCCCTTCTCTCTCTTTCTCTTCCCTTCTTCCCCTTCAGTGGGCGGCGGGCGGTGAGAACGAGCGGCGGCGGCGCGCAAGTGAGGGCCGAAGCGACGACGACAGGATGAGCGAGGGCAGGAGCGGCGAGCTGTGCAGCCGCCGCCGCCGCCGTACTCCTCCTTCCTCCCTCTCTCTCCCTTCTCTCTCTTTCTCTCCCCTTCTTTCCCTTCGGCCGGTGGCACGCGGGGACAGCGAGAGCGAGCGGCCGGGGGGCGGTGAAGGCGGAGCTTCGGGCGCCGGCAGCTAGCAAGGAGAGGACGGCACGGAGGAAGGCCCGCCTGCCGCCGTCGTCGCCGCCTCCGCTCGGGCCTTCCTGGCGCCCATCGCTGTCGCCTCCGCTCGATCCTCCTCTGGCGCCACCGCCGCTCAAGCCGGGCGGCCGCCGCCGTTTGGGCTGCCCCGTCACCCGGTGCCGTCGCCTCCGCTCGAGCCGAGCGGCCTCCGCCCATGAGGCGCGCGGCGAGGCTGGGTGTGCGCGGCGTGTCGGCCTCGAAGGGTGGCGCGGACGGCCTAGGGCGCACGAGGGCGCCAAAGGCCGGCTTGATCTAGACGCCGATCTGGATGTCGCCGCGAAGCAGGTTGGCGTCGAGGTCGAGGCTGTTGCGCGGCGCCTGGAGGCCTCCGTCGTTTGCGCCGCCCCGTCGCCCGACGCCATCGCGTCCGCTCGACCTGCCTCTAGCGCCGCCGCCGCTCTAGCCGGGTGGCCGCCACCGTTTGGCCTCCCCGTCGCCCGGCGCCATCGCCCATCGCCGCCTGTGGGAGACGTAGGGGAAGAAGGGGGGAGAGAGAGAAGGGACAGAGGGAGGAGGAAGAAGAAAGGAGGATGACATGTGGGGTCCACATGTAAGTGGGACCCATAATTTTTTTATGTGTGAATGACAAACGGGTCCCACAATTGTAATGCCATGTAAGTGCCACGTCAACGCCACGTGGATCGAAGACTCGGTCAATATTGCCACGTAGGCGCCACGTGGCGCCACGTCAGCAAAACCGCCTCCCAAAACCGCCTCAGGGAGTCAAATTGCACCGATTTTAGGAGTTTGGGGGTCGAGATATCTGGTTTTGTGGTTTAGGGTCATGGATTAGATTTCAATCACAGTTGAGGGTCATGAAGTGAACTTATTCCTTTCAGTTACTTTTCCCATCACATGAAGCCTTCAAGGCCCATGGACCACTAGCAAGGCCCAAAATTAAAACCATATCTGTCCCAACCATATTTCATTTGCCTAATACTGCTCTTTATTTAATGCCACTAAGTAAAATCAATGCTCTTGGTTGCCTCTTAAATAATGAATCATGAGCCTGGAAGTTTAGAAGAATTATAGCAAAAATGATTCCCTGTTAATAATTTTATTGCATATCAGGGCGATAAGAACGGTCAGTTTTCCGCCGTCTCTACGGAAACTACATATTTCAGGATACTAATCTTTCCAAATCAGTCCATATTTCCATGGTAATATATAGTTTGTGTAGCTTAGACATAGTGTCCAGATATTCATAATTATATCTCTAGCTGATTGGAAGATGAATGGAAGAAAATTGTGATAGGAGCTGGACAAAATAAAAGCTGAGATATGGCACATGGCTGTCAAAATATGACTCTGCTTTGATTTGATTCAGCTTGAACATGCAGCCAACCAAGTAGAAATTTTAACATGAATAAAATCTTAAAACACCTATATAATAATCAGTGTAATTAGATTGGTCGTTGTTGGATGCTACACCAATTTGGATCAACAGAATCGCAACAAATCGCAAGCATAACACATTTTTTTAGATAATGAGAAGCATTTGCAAAGCATAACGCACGTAGGTGGGAGTAAGCTCGCCAACGCTAACGATATCGAATTCTGCAATTTATTTAATTATGAACTACTATATGATACAGTTAAATAGAATAATATATGAGCTAGCTTTATGGACGCCATCCACCATTAATTCCACCTTTTTTTTATACAGTTGATGTAATTATATAATGGAGCTCCTATGATCTCCTCATGGAATGACTAGGAAGTCTAAGATACTGTCTAATTAAGTACAAATCTCTATCTGATGGAAACAGTACTGCCTGTACTAGACAATAATTGTACAGTGTTTATTATTGAGAGAGTAAGCATGTTAGTTCTCAGATACACGTTTTTCTTTTTTAAGAGACAGTACAGAGTAGCTTGAATCAGGAGTATTTTTTTTATCGATAGTACATCAATTATTTTTGTGCATTCATATCGACTAACTGATTTCCAGGTATGTTCAAAACAAGTACATCACTTGAAATTGGTGATCAAAAAAATCTTTTTTCCTGCTGACCTAGATGGAGAATACGGTTTATAAGCTGCATCTAATATTAAATTATGAACTTAATTAATCTTGGGATTAATTTAAGGAAATAACTATATTTATGGCGCTATATTTTTCACTAAAAAATAGTCGGTATGTATTTACAATGTAAGTCCCTAAATTACATAAATAGTCGGTATGTATTTACAATGTAAGTCCCTAAATTACATATGTAGTTTTAGTGTATTTACAATGTAAATCCCAAAATTACATATATAAGTCCTAAAATTACATATGTAAATCCTAAAATTACATACTAATTACATATGTAAGTGGTGTGTAAGTGTGGTGTAACTAATGTGTAAATTTGTATAAGAGAAGGTATCAGTGCAATATTAAACGCTAATCAGCAAAGAAGATTGGGGCTTGCCGCAACGCGTGAAAACATCCAACGATTGAAAGATGCACAGCCGAATACTCGCGGGGAAATTGTACGGCCAGCGACGACGACTGAAAATCAGTCAAAAAAAAATTGTCGACATATTTTTAGTAATTCCGTTAATTTAATTAGATGTTTTTCCTTGCATTATTCAGCTTTGGCTTTATACTGTTTTAAGAGCAAAGCATAAATGGCTTATCAGCAACCAGAAAATAATTTGCAACTAAAACTTTGTACACGCCCAGATCTCTACGATCTCAGTTCGCCGAAATTTGTTTCAATTGATTCTTCTTGAGCTGAGTTTTCTAATTAACCATATGATAGTGGAGACCATATGATATATAATTAAATCAAACCTTGGTTAATTAATCTGGATCCAAATGGAAAGCACCAATTTTGTAGTAGGTAGGGTTGAC